ACAAGCATTTATATGCAATTGAGAATAAGATGAAAAGGCACAATCCAAAGAATGGGACATGGATAAAAGAAAAACACCCTAAACTCTAAGAAAATAAGGGGTTCCACACTACTTCAAAAGATTTACAGGAAGGTGCTTGTGCAAGTCCTGTGAGAAAAAATGTAGCAATAAATTCAAAAAGCATCTTAGAGGTCATGACAAATAGCAAAATAATGTTTGTGCAGAGATTTTAGAGTCAGGAAAAAATGATATGCCTGTTGTGGGTGAGGAAGACTGGCCAGATTGGAAACTATATGCAGCACTCCTGCTACTACAATATAATAGAAGAGCTAAATAAGAAGGCAAACATGTGTATGCTACCAACACGCTAGTCATATTCATCTTCCTCGTAGTCGACAGAAACCTTATTTTGCTTCTGAATGTTCGACTTCCCACCATCTCAAAGAACCAATTTCTAGACCTTGAACATGGCATAAAGGCTGCATTATTGGAAAGCTTCCAAACTGGATTCTGAGGCATGATGTGTGAGACAGTGTTGGCAGTCAACACTAGGTGGTTTGTGAGCTTAATCTCACACATGCAGTAACACAAAACGCTGCTTTTTGCATTTTATCCCAAAAGGGGACAGGACCCTTTTTTTTCTCAACTGTAAGCTAAGCCAATAAAGATCCAAAATGAAGCCCAAGTCATGAGAACAACTAGGTTGTTCAAAGAAACAGCCGAACAAAATGTCTTTTACATGGGTTTCTTCTGTTTCTGTTTTTTAGGTTTGTTGAGATTGATGGATTAGCTGGATAAAATGAGGTCAAGTTTTAAGGTTATGAGAATAGTAGATTTCCAGCATTCGAGAAAACAAGGAGAGACATTCATAAAAAATATAGGACTGAATTTCATGCCCTGTATAATATGACATGTACCCATACAATTGACAATGATACCCATGAGCTACTGTAAAATTACATAGATTCCCACATAAACATATTACAAGGAATAAAAGCATAAAAAGGTATGTAACATTTTTTATCCATTCTGGTAGTTTAATCAGTGAATGAATATTCACCCACGTGGGCACCTACGGCCTAGGGAACTTTTTAAACCAAATAGAGCCCAGGCAGGTATTATGGGGCTTGCCTAGGTGCCCTAGGGCTGCCTAGGCCACCTAGGCGGTCCGATGATGCTTTTGATCGAGGGCAGAAAAAAGCCCCCAGCCGAGGGCAAAAATATGACATCCCCCCCAGCCCCCACTTTCTAAAAAGGCGAAAAGGGTTTTGGGGGGAAGTTTTCCATTCCAAAACCCCTTTGGGCTCATTTCTACTTGGAAAACATTCTAAAAGCAGCATTTGGAGATCTTTTTGAAGAATCGGAAAAAAATTTCAAACTTTTGATTTCTTGGAAAATCGAAAAGTCTTCAATCCAGTATTTCTGAGACAAATTGAAAAAGAGGTCTTTCAACAATCAAAGGTCATCTATTCAAGCCAAATTTGACTGGGTTTTGATAAGTTGGTGTATCTCATTTCTTGGTTTAGGGTTTGGATTGATTTGCCTTTTTTTTTTTTTCAATTTGTTTATTTTTGGGTAATTATGGCAAATATACCTATATTTTTAGCTTAATTGGAAAGAAACCCCCAACTTTCAAAAACCTCATCTACACCCTTTTTCTTCATTTTCAGTTTTTTTTGGACAAAAATGATCTTCACGGTAGTCGTTTTACCGTAATTCATATTAAGTTTTACAGTAATTAAAATACCATAATAACTTGAAGTAGTATTACGGTAATTAAAAAACTGTAATAACTTGAAGTAGTATCACGGTACTTTAAGTACCGTAATAGATAACATTTTCTTTACGGCATTCTTTCTACCGTAATTACATTTTCTTTACGGCATTCTTTCTACCGTAATTAGGCACCATGTATGGCTTCTTTCTCGACCAATGAGGGAGAGGAGAGAGAGATGAGATCGGGGATAGAGAGGGGTTTTACGTGTGAGAGAGGGAGATTTGAGAGATAAAGAAGGAGAGAAAAGTGGAGATAAGGACGGACGAGTTGAAAGGGATAGAGATGGTTTGTTGGGGGATTGAGAGAGATAGAGGGGGAAAGTTGAGAAAAAGAGGGGTACATGGGCTTAAAAGTGCCGTATAAAATGAGTTAAACATTACGATAGTTAAAGTACCATATAAAATGGAAACATTACGGTAGAAAGAATGAGGTAAAGAAAATGTTATCAATTATGATACTTAAAGTATCGTAATACTACTTCAAGTTATTACGGTATTTTAATTACCATCAAAATTAATATGAATTATGGAAAAATGACTACCGTGAAGGTTATTTTCGTAAAACAAAACCCGAAAATGAAGAAAAAGGGTGTAGACGAGGTTTTTGAAAGTTCGGAGTTTTTTTTCCAATTAAGCTAAAATTTAGGTATATTTGCGATAATTATCCTTTATTTTTCTTGCAAATTTATTTCATTTTTGTGTTTGAATTATTGGTCCCTTACTAAAGTGCAAGTTTCATTTTGAATTTTTTACATTTATTAAATTTCGGGAAATCCATCCTAAAGATTGTCAAGAAACTCAAGCATGCTAGATTTTGTTCTTCTTTATTAGTCCTTAGATTGTCGAAAGATTGAAAAGAAGCAACATATTAACCCTTTAGAGCTTTTTGGATGATATCTTTTAATATTTAATTTGGCATTAATATCTAGGTGATTGAGATTTTTATTTTTTGTTGATTTCATAGGATGGGTTACATTATGGATTTGATACTTGAGTATGAGTTATTCATGCTGGACTACATCCTTGATTTTAGTAAATTACTTGAGTATGAGTTGTTCATGCTAGACTACATCCTTGATTTAGTAAATTACTATAACTCTTGTTACATTAATAGTCCTTTTGAATATCTAGGTGATTGAGATTATTATTTTTTGTTGATTTCATAGGATGGGTTACATTATGGATTCGATACTTGAGTATGAGTTGTTCATGCTAGACTACATCCTTGATTTTAGTAAATTACTATATAGTAAACTCTTATTACATTAATAGTTTAGATATATAAATTAATAAATTTTCTTTTTAGTTTATCTTACTTCCATTTTGTATATTATTATAACTCATCTAGCATGGGTTTTATATTCAATAATATAACTGGATTGTGTTCTTTAGGTAAAATGGAACATAAGGTGGGCATTAGAGGGAATATAGTCCCCATCCAAATGAGAAGAATAAGGTGGCACTTAAATATTGTAAAATGGAGCATAATGCAGACATTAATTGATTAAAGAAGCATTTGGCAGGCATTAGAGGGGATATAGCCCCATGTACTGAAGTGCATGTGCATGTTTGGAAAGGGATGGATCATTTATCTGGGGTCCAAAAACCAGAAGACGCAAGAAAAAAATATGAGGGTATTGCAATAGTTGTAGATATTTTTGGAGGAGAAGATGAAGATGAATAAGACGCAAGAAAAAATATGAGGGTATTGCAATAGTTGTAGATATTTTTGGAGGAGAAGATGAAGATGAATATACTGAGGAAGGGAGCCTTATTTCTAGGTCAAGTCTGTTTGGAAATAAGAGGCGTTGAAAGGGGCCTAAGGTGGTGGTTCGAGAAAGGAGAAAGAGTAGCTCAGAGACCCACTTTAAGAAGGATGATAGGGATCAGGTGTCTCAATATGTAGCTTGATGGTATTATCAAGCATGTTTGTCATTCAATTCTGCTAACTTGAAGAGCTTACAAGCTATGCTGGAAGCAAAAGGACAGTTTGGGCTAGGATATAAGACCTTTCACCTTATGGGCTCAAAGGGCCCTTATTGAAGAAAGAGGAGCTCACAAATCAGCATCTCCAAGACTCATACATGGGGCAAGCATGGGGTCACCATAGAACAATTACATGAACTGATAAGAGGACTAGCATTATAGACCTAATAGTGAAGTTCCTAAGGGGACAATATTTTTGAGGTCCATTGATACATCTGACAATATCCAATGACGCACAACTCATTTTCTGATTGAAT